CGGAATATGTGAACTTCTATGGCTGAAGATTATATTGGAAGACTTGAAGATAAAGTGGGACGAACCTATGAGGTTATATTGTGACAATAAATCTGCAATTAGCATATTGAAGTCGATAGACACTTTATCAAGGAAAAACTTGACAGTGGCATGATTTGCACACCATATGTGTCCACTCAGAACCAAATTGTGGACATCCTCACCAAGGGCCTGAACTGCAGTAAATTTGAAGGGATTATATCCAAGCTGGGAATGGAAAACACCTATTCACCAGCTTGAGGGGAAGTGTCAAAAACCATGATTGACGTGGTAGTAATTGTCGTGATATATTTTAGGATGTTTTTATATTTGATGGGCTGTATTTATGCAACAGTTATGTGCTGCATTTATTAGGTTTATTTATGTATGATTGATCCCGTAATCATAGGGATCTGTTTCTTAGAATTAACCGTCTGCATTTCCTAAAATATGCAGCTAACCCATGTATATTTATAGAGGTAACCTCATAATGAGAATAAGAAAGAAATAATATTCCTTCTAAATTTGAGAGAAAATGAACACACTACAGATATATTTCTTTAAGCAAGAAATCAACCACACACATAGAACACACTCACTCGTGTAAAATCCCAAAAAATGATATTTTAGAAGTGACAATAGTTTAAAAATAGTGAGACTCGGTTATTTTAATATTAAATAGTTTATTTATAAATAGTTTTGTTATAAACGAGTTTTATTATTGTAAACTGATGTAGGGGTTAGAAAGGGTAGAATTGAAATTGAGTAGCTTGTAGAAGTGAATTTGGGTTTTAAAGTGTCAGTTTGAGATAGGGTGGTGTTTCAAGAGGTTTTTCAATGTTTAGAAGGTCATAGGAATCATTCAAAGTTGTGGGGTAAGTGTGTGAAGGGATCCAAAAAGTGTAGAGTTTTTCTGATAGTACCCAAACAGGGCGCTGAGCGCCCGTTTCCAGAGGCGCTAGCTCTGAGCGCCAGCCCCTGGGCTTTGAGCACTACTAGGCACCATTACACCAGTTTCAGGGGGCTTTTCAGGGTTCTGGATATCAGTTTTGGACGTTCTTTAGGTCGTTTTGGGAGGGTTTCAAAGTTGGTTTCCTTACTAATGTGAGTATCAAGATGCCATGAAGAAATTGTGTTATCGTGTGATTTTTGATGACTTGTATGGGTGTTTCTATTTCTTTAATGTATGATCAGTAGTCTCATATATTGGGGTGTATTATGTGAATGTGAAGTGATCTCAAGGGTTTCAAAGGTATGGAAGAGAGTTCCAAGGAGGAATTTATGAGTGGGGGTTTTCAAGTATTGTAAGTATGAATGTAAGAAGCTTAGTTATGATGGGTTATCCTGATACTCTAATGATTATCCATGCTCAAGTAGAGAGAGATGAGTCATGTTGTAGGAGGTCCTAGTCTGGAGGCCTTTCTTCAGTTGGCAAAGGGCAAGTTAAAGGATTAATCTTGTGTGACAACTTAGAATGGGTCAGTTGTTCCACCACACAAGTGTAGAACCCACCATAGTCCTAGCCTAGGGGCCTTTCTCCATCTCGCAAAGGGCAGGACATGTTATAGCTCGACATTCATAGTATATCCGGATGAGTGATCCTACTTAGTGTAAATTTCTTGGGTTGAGTTGTGATATATATATATATATATATATATATATATATATATGAAAATTTAAATATTATGTGATACTTATTTTCATACTAGTTTACTCTTGCTTTTGTCTTTGTTTGTTGGTGTATGTTTCTCTTTTGCAATAACCACCTTAAATGGTGTGAGCTTAGGGAGGGACAAAATGAAGAGGAGGGTGAAGCAGCAACATAGATAGAATTTATTCTTCAAGTGTAGGATTTCCTTTCTTAGTAGTTTTGGAAAGTTTCTTGTAAGTTATCAGCTATGTAACGTTACATTTTCGGTAGTTTTATACTATTAAAATGGAATGTTACATCTCGCAGCCAGAATACTGAAAAGAATTTGTTTATTATTCTTGAGAACAAAGAATATAGAGTACACTGTCCAAACACTATCAAGGGAACACCCTCCCTTCACACAGGATGCAATTGTCCTGTTTATACAACAAAGCAAAAACATGTTTGTCACCAGACACCCCTCTCCCCTTATAAAGCTACCCCTTCCTGCTAACCAACAACTAACCACCCAACAGACCTCCTAAGCCTCCTAACCGCCAAACAGCATACAACCTCCCAATTAATTTCTTTTCCTCCTTTCATATACTTTTAAAGCCCTATCAAATACATTCTAAAGAAGGATTTAGTTTTTGAGCAAGGTTTAAGCACAAAGAAAAAATATCCCCCTAACATGGAGCTTTCTCCTCCAACACAGGAAATAACAATCTGACTCCTTAATTTCCTTTTACTAACGGGAGTTTCCAAAGAAACTCTTATTGGAAGTTGTATAGCTGTCACAACAATACTAAGTACATTCCAAGAGATTCCATGTGCTGGCTGACAACGAAAATTACTGCAATTATATTCAAAATCAAATTCTGATTTTAGGATATTCTCTCCCACAAAAGTGGTAGGCAAATGTGTTTTTGTACAGAACTTGAGAAGCTCGTGTGAATCAAGACCCCTATTTACATTCAATTCAGGATTCAAGATTACAAATTGAATTAAAGTAGACCTAGTTCAAATGAAAATCTACTAAGAATATATTTTATACTAGCAAGAGTGACTTATATGTTGATATTATTCTCCATTTATATATTATATTTTTATCTTACCTCTAGACAATGTGATATCTCAAACAATACATACTTCAAAATAAAGGCAGTTTGACTTCAATCATATATCTATTCATAGAAGAAATACCTGTGGGACCACTATTGCCAGATTTAGGACACCCATTGATAACCCTGCAAATACCAGCAATGCATATAAATAGTTCTACACATATAAATAGTTAAACACACGTACTCAAGAAATCATAAACACTGTAATGAATAGAAGTCAACCTTGGCCAAGTCCTAAAGACTCGATATGTGTGGAAATTAAGGCATATGGAACACTATAAGTGATCTGCAATAAATAAATATTAATCAAAAAATATTTAGTACCGTTTACAAACTTCAATTTCTAAGAACAAGTTATACTAAAATAAAATGTATGACAAGGGTTCCCCAAAAAAAAATTAAGAGATTGTACAACATAGGACAAAAGCAAGTCAAATACTATAATTCATATGTATTAGTCACATATTCAATGTTGATATGAAAGGAACAAAATGCTTTGTGCAGTAGAATAGGGCAACTTACTGCCAGGGGAAACCCAAGAATGGTAAAGATAATCAATGCGGCTATCACAATGCCAGGTGGAGGTAGATCTTTGCCTGCATAGCCTATGCTACTGGCCACATAGGTTAATACAAGCATTGCAAGAAAGCAAAATGTCATCACGATATTTGAGATTCCCCACACAAAACCAGCCCCCCTCTTCCTGCATAACCTTTCCATGAGCAATGATGTCAATGCAAGAACAACTGAATTAAGCAACAAACCAAGTGCTCCCATTCTAACTCCAGTATCATATATAAGGCCTTGATTTGGATCACCACCATAAATCTCTCGTCCCATCCAATCAGTATCAAATAGAGTAAATGGAAACCATCCAATCCATGTGAGAGCAGTAACAGACAGAATTATCCATACAGGGGTTGAAAAATATTTGAATGTCCCAAATAATTCCCACATGAAAGCTTCTTCGGCACTACCTGACTCCTCGGCCACTGCTTCAGCATGGGCCACCACATTAGAATTTAGAGGCACTTCATGAGCTGCCATGATGCTGATATATGTTGTGACCGCAATAAAAGCAATGTCAAGAAAGAAAGCAGACTTGAGATTTGCACAACTAATTGTGCAAGCAGGGGAAAGTGTAAAAGGGAAAACCTTGTACCAACCACTGTATGATCCAGTTGCATAGCCAAGAATATTACCAATGGCCATAAACAGTGAGTAGTAAGCATTTGCAACACGTGTCCTTCTAGGATCCTTGCCTAACATTCCAAATAAGATGAACATTAATGTCTTGCTGTTTTCCAAATTGACCATTTTCGTATAAATGATGACAGACACAATGAAAACGTAATTTTTTTGGTTCATGAGGGGAGGGAGGTAATTCCCACAAAACACACAAGACTCTACCTCTCTCTGAAATGAGCATTTATACGTCCAAGTATCAGAGATAGTTACTGAAGCATAGAAAGATGCATGATTTCTCGTGAAATTTATTCAGACAATTTAGGTCATATGTTGTAAAATCAAAAGATAATTACTATATCCATTTAATTTAATTGAGAACTGAATTCAATAATATGGCAGAAGATTGTATAGGAAGTGGACCTACAATTTCAGTCAATAGAGGAAACTTATTTTCAAATAAGGTTGCTATACCCCACCTTATCAGTTACCACATGTGATTAGACACATGAGAGTGAAACTACTTTTCAGTTAGTACATTAGCAGTTATGATTAGTTAGAGTATAGATTCTGCTAGTTGGATTAGTTGGTAGCAGCTTACTCTTTTCTGTCACAACAGTTTACATTCTATATAACATGTACTTGTTAACAGGTGTGAAAAACATTTTTCTTCTCATTCAAATTTCTTAGACACCTCTAAATGTGATGACATTTGTTCAGCTTTTGGAAATAGAAGTTTCATTATTTCAGGCTCTTATGCCATTATAACATCCAGCAGATATCCCATAATTTAATATGGTATCGAAACTTATCATAAATCTAATCTTAGACAACCCTCAATTGTCCAAAAATCTACCTAACCCTGCAGTTTTCCCATGCAATATTAAAAGGAAAAATAGTCCCACAATGTCCACAGTCCAGATGTGGAATCCTGGGCATTAATGAGAAGGTAGAGATCCCACATCAATTATAGATATGGCCAAGTAGAACATATAAAGGCTTGAGCTATCGTTATCTCATGAGCAAGCATTTTGAGTTGAGTCAGGCTCATACCAAATTCAAAATGATAACAGAGCCCATCGTAATTCAAGTATTAGTCACTCTTAACTATTCCAAAATTTATCTAGGTCTGCAGCTTTCCCAATGCAAAAAAAAAAAAATACTCTTACAAAGTCTACGTTCCAGTTCAATGCAAATTAAGCTTATAAAACTTAGACAATCCTCACCTTACAAACTCACTTTTGGGGTTCACTCGGGCACAACTCAAATATTCAATGTTGTATTAGAGCCTATTTTAAATCTAATGCTAGATCACCGCAAATCAAGTTCTAGAGGCTATAAAAAGCCTATGTGAATCTAAAATTTATGTTACCCTCAACTATCTAAAACTCTACCTGGTTGGTCCAATCTCCAGATGTCACAATCCTATGCATGAGGATCCCTCAAAGACAACAGACAAGGACAGACTAAAGCTTATAAAGGTTTGGAGGGTCCTCACTTCATGAGCTCATCTTTGGGATTATTGAGTTAGGCTCACCCCAAATTCTAGACAAACCAAGGGTAACTAGTCATGAGAGGTGAAGAGAAAACAAGCCAAAATATTACTTACGTTAACTTCTACGCTACACCTCCCCATAGAATAAAAACCTTTCTTTCATGAAAAATCTAAATCACAGGTTATCTAGTTTTTCTAAACACAAGATCGTCCAAACGAAGTAACACAAGGATTGTGATCCAAGGGGGTGCCCACTAAACCAGCCAACAGTCACCGGAGAGAACCTGACATTCAGCCAGCAAAAACCATCAAAAGTTGGTTCTTCCCTTAGGTAGTAGTTTCAAATTTGTTCACTGCTGTGAATATGATTGCTAATTCAAAAGTTATAGAAATATTAACTCAGACGAAAGATCATGACCTAAGAAAATAAATTCTGACAAACAGATGACCTTAACTACATACCAAAAGGCTCAATCCAAACATAAACCATAATCACATCCTTAAAAACATATCAAGTTCAAGTTTTAATCAACATTGAATAAAAAAAATGAATATCAGGGACAGATACTAGTTGTAGCCACATTAATAAACAAAACCATGGTTTCAATTATCAAATATTTGGCAGTAAGCACTAATTTGTATATAATCATATGTGTACCCTTTTTTTCTTCTATGTATACATGTTGTTTTTCCATTTTTTTATTTGTAAACGTAAGATTATTTAGAGACTGCTTTTCGTTTTCAACAGATATTAGTTTCTTCATCAATCAAAGAACAACATTTACAGTTCAACAGGCAAGGGTGTAACTAAAGTAAAGTAAAAATCTAGCAAGCCCATGAGTTTAAAGCAAGACAAGAAGCACTAAACAAATCTAGCAACAGAAGAAGCATGTAATGAAAAAGATAGCACCCCCCGACTCCAACTACACAACTAGAATGCAGAGAAAGTGTACAATGACCGTGAATGAAAAAGATAACACCCCCCGACTCCAACTACACAACTAGAATGCAGAGAAAGTGTACAATGACCGTGAAGACTTAAATTTTGTTTCCCCCGAGCTTCCTAGTCGCCATTTTGCCGCAAACTAATTAAGTGCCACTACCAGCCTTATCCCAACAAAATAACCCTTAACAAAAGACATAATTGAATCTTCGCGTTTTTCACTTTACATTTTTACGTTCTGCTTTCTCCGTAACAAAAAAAGAAACAAGTTGGCAATCCATACAATAGCTCAATCTAAACAACTTTCCAAACCAAACGCCAAATTTAACATTAAGTACAAATTTCACGGTAGAAGATTTGGTCAAACATGGTCAACGGTAACAACGCATGCAGATCATAACGGTCAAAGTTCAGTAAATGAACCAAGTCAAATGCAATAAACATAAGCGAAATCGAGCAATCTACGAAACAGAGTAAGATCCAAGAAGAGACAAGGAAGTCAACTAGGTAGCTCGATCTTCGTTGAATTGAACACCTCAGTTGCATTCGCAAAATCAACTCACAAAAAATCAATTAGCCGAGAACAGTGATAACTGGAATTAGAATTGTAAATTGTGAATTCAATATCTGAGATAGGAGGAGAGGAATCAAAGCATACTGGTGAGATCACTGAGCAAGGCTCGACAGGGACCTTGCGTGACGTTGTTGGCGACGTCGAGGATCCAAAAGCCGATTATAAAGACAGTTATGGCAGCCGGTCGGTAGGTGGCGGTGTCGCCAAGAACCCAACCGATGTCGGCGGCGTAGGCGATGATGACGACGGCGATCACGATGGAGACAGCGCCGACGAAGATGAAGGGGCGGCGGCGGCCGAAGCGGCTGGTGCAGCGGTCGCTCATGTGACCGACGAGAGGCTGGACGAAGAGGCCGGAGACCGGGCCGCAGAGCCAGATGATGCTGGCCCATTGATGAGGGATGCCAAGCTGCTGGACGTAGGGAGTGAGGAGGGAGAGCTGCAAGGCCCAACCGAACTGAATACCGCTCGCCACTGACGCCACGCGCAGCAGCTGGCGCAGAGAGGCTCGGGCCCTGACCGGCTGCCGCGGCGCTGCTGACGTAGAGGCACGGGCCCGGGAGCGGGAGTGTTGGCTGCGGTTAGCCTCGGGATTCGGCATCGCAGGTGGCGGCACTTTTCCCGGTGCCCCCTCTCTCTAACGAAAACCGTTTCGTCAGGTATGACACAAAACAGAGAGAGTGTGTTGTGTGGTCTGTTTCTGTGGCGGTTTGTCTGTGGTGTGAAGCAGAAGCAAAGGTGGTGCGGTATGGTGCAGTTCAGTGCGATTCCGTTGTAACTTGCGAGGTGGGACTTGTTATCACCATATTCGACCTCTTAGCCACAATTATTTACGAAACTGCCCTCCCCGTTTATCATTCCTATTTCTGCACTCAAATTTAGTTGATAATAAGTGATTAGATTTTAGTTATTAAATTAACTTAAATCCAATTCAACTGAAAAGAAAAAATACATTAAAAATTAAAAAAATTAAGAAACATCAAACAAATAAATGGTTAAATTGGTCAATACAATATGAAATGAAGTGATGATAGTAGTAAAATTCTTAACTGTATTATTAGAAGTTTAATTTCGAAATCCTTTTATTTGAGAGAAGATATATTTAGGGATATTTTAGTCACCTAAAATATAATGAGAATAACATTTGTCTTGTAATTATGAAGAGAAGTTCAAGTGGTGAATGAAACGACAAAGGATTTGGATAGGAACGGATTCGTTTTAAATGTGTTATAATATTATTAATTAATAATAGTGTTAGGTTAATAGGTAGGGTGTGACACAAGATTAGGGATAAAGAAAAGGTGGTGGGAATGGGTTGGCAAGGCTAATTAAGTAATAATAATTATTGGTTAGAAAAATGGTTCACTGATTAGAAGATATTTTGGCTTTTGGCTTTTGGCTTTTGGCTTTCGGGAGAAGAACTTAGAATGCATCATAACAGTAGGTATAGTATGTTTAGACGTACGTATCGTATGGCCCAACTCTTTGTTTTTTGTGGGGTAGAATATCCTAAACTGACTCTCATTCCCCATTATTTGTCATTACTCATTCTGTTCTTAGTACTTGTCTTATTTCCATTAAGGGCAAAAAAAACTTACAACATACTTTCTGTTTTTCTGAACAAATACGATGCAAACAAAAAGGGTGTATAAACTATTTGTATTTGTATTCGTATTCGTATACAAATGTCTGCTATAGTAATGTTTTTAAAATATCATTACCTGCGATTCACGTTTAGAATTGAAGAAAAAAATATGTTGTATACAGTAAAGAAAAACGATTTGTGAAAATATTTTTCTCAAAATCTCATCAGGAAAAGACAAATGATATGATAAAAAATAGAAAATATTAAAAAATAATAGTAGAAAAAGATGATGTATTAAATTAATATGGAAAACAGTGATGGAGTGTTAAGGTAGGGGCCACAGAGCATGGCTTCAATCATTTTGGTTAATTGCATGACAGAAGAACCTGAGGCAATTACAACACATCGTATTTGTGAGATGGTTTACTCAGGAATTTCGTTATTCCTAGGTTTCGGTTCGACTTAGGAACAAAATAAATAAAACCATTTTCTTCTAAAAAATATTTAAGAAAATTGTCGTGGTCGTGAAAGATGAAAGATTCGTTCGTCTATTTGATTCGTACTGAAGTAAAGTCACGTGCCAGATATTTTTGTGGGGGTGACGTCAACATCATGTTCATTCGACCTCGAAACTAATTTAATTTCGACCTGTTGCACATTGAAAAGTAATTCTACAGTTTGCATTTAAGGGGGGAAAATTTATTTTGATCTACAAACAAAATTACCAACAAAACGTTGACAAAATGATGCATTTTTTAACAACAATTTAACTAAGATAAAAAAAATGGATTTGTTTATGTTTAATGAGAGGAAGAGTTTTTTTATCCAATGACACATGACCCATGGGTGAAAGTGGTTGCGACATGCAACGGACCTCATATTCTATTTAATGTTTAATCCAAATAAAATAATAAGTACTCCTCTTACAAAGTCAAAGAGATACTGTATAAGGATTTCGAAATTTTAATTCTATGAATTTTTTCGATTTTTACTCTTCAAAGTGTCCTTAGTATTAGTCCTTTGTAAAGTGAGTAGAAGTTATGTTTGCATAATTTCAATACTAAAGGTAGTCTCAAACATGGTATTAAGTGTAATTAATGAGAATATAAAAAAATTATGCTATTTATAATATATTTTTATACTTTTGTTGACTCTTACTTATATATGTTTGGATTTGGTTTAATAACTCATTTGTCTTGAGTAAGTGTTTATTTATATTGTGCTAAGTTACAAAGTAGTCGGTATACCATTGGTTCTATAGACCGATAAGTAATTGGTCAAACCGCTTAGTGGTAGTTACCAGGTAAGTTGGACTTGTTTGGGTGCAAAATAATAAATAATAAATTATATAGAAGTGAAGTGTAGAATAATTGATTAAATCTCTTTATTATGAATTGGAGGTCATGTGTTCGATTCTTTTTGTGTGTGCATTGGATGTGTTTTATTTCTTTTACTATTATTATATTTTAGACGTGTTGTATGTGATGTTGTTTGTATTGTTAGTGGTGTATGTGAATGATAAGATAAATGTGATAGTCTCTTTGATTTGGTGTGTTTATCTGGAACTTGGAGGTGGTGTGTTCAAACCTTGGGTAGAGTATAAGTATATTATTTTAGGGTTCTCCATTTTTAATGAAAGGTGAAGAGATGGAAACATATTCATTAAAAGGTGAATTATGAGGCAATTTTAAGAGTGAATGTACCGTAGTTTTTTTCTAGGAATATGTGGATTTTGAGTATGTTGCATGTAAAGGGAGCTATTCTCCTTTTGAGTATGTTTCTGTGTACATTGAAACAACTTGTAGTGATATATTCCTTTTGTTTTTTTGGTGTGATTATGTTGTGAAAGGTCAAAATGTTTTGTTCACGGTAATATACTATAACCACGTGTTTGATGAAAATGGGTGGATTCATTTGTGTATTAGGGAGGAAAGTTTACTTAAGTATATATTCTATTGCATGTGAGTTTTGGAATGCTACCGCCAGGGCTTAGTGCCCCTGAGCGCCAGTTTTCTTCCCGCACCACGCCTGGGCACCTCATTTAGGGCGCTAAGCGTCAGCGAAGTAGGCTTGGACCTATTTTTTGTTATTTTTTAGTTCTATTTAAGGACTTGGACATCCTAGGGATTGTATCTTTTGATGGCTTGAGCACAGAAACACATTTTTCACCCCTTGGGGGTAGATTTGGGGATGTGACAGCTCTCATTTTTCCTTAAGGGTAGATTTGGGGATGTGACAGCTCTCCTCTTCTCTTTCTAGGATTTTTCTATCTCTTTCTAGGATTTTTCTATCTCTTTCATTCTTTCATTGTTCATCTAGTTTCTCCATGATGATGGGGAACTAAACCTTATTTCTTGTTGGGGAATGATGTAAACCTTTGTAAACTCTCATGCATTGAATTGATTCTTAATTATATATGCTTCTTTCATTAATTGTTAGGTAATTCTTCTTCACTCAATGCTTGCTTTGTTTAACTCATTCATTAGCATGATGTATGATTTGCATGATTACCGGAAGGTATCTTATAATTCAGGTTCTTGACAATTATTCCCAAAAGCAGTATTGCTTAGGAATGGAGGTATGAGTTCTGGTTGTCTTAAGCTACTATTCGTAATTGAGAATTAATTGTTACGAATGCAAGGAATTGTGACCTAGTAATTAAGGATAAGCTTTCTTCACCGAGGAATCGAGTTTTAAGTAATTTAGAAAGTGACATTGAGATTAATGAAGAAGATGAATTCTTATATGCATGAGAGTGATTAGGTGAAATCTAAATGCCAATAACATATTCATCTCATATTTTCAATATCATTCATTCATCTTTGTGTTTAGCCTCAATTAATCAAATTGCATTCATGTTTATTTTTATTGCATTTGCATTCAAAACCCCAAAAATTGTTCTTCTTAAGTCTTAATTAGTTAAGCAATTACACAACTGTTTATTACCGTGAGTCCTTTGGGATACGATACTTGGTCTTACCATTTTATATTACTTGATACGATTCGGTACACTTTCCGGAGTCTTAACAAGTTTTTAGCACCGTTGCCGGGGACTCGTGGTTTAAACTATTTTATTTGTGTGATTCTTAACCGATTAAACTTTATCTTTAATTTTTATCTTTTTATCTTTTTATCTTTTTTATCTTTTTATCTTTTTATCTTTTTATCTTTTTATCTTTTTATCTTTTTATCTTTTTATCTTTTTATCTTTTTATCTTTTTATCTTTTT